CCCAGGCTGGTCTCGAACTCACAACGACCTTCCTGCCTCAGCCTCCCAAGTGCTGGGGTTACAGGCGTGCACCACCACGCCTGGCCCAGATACCCTGATTGGAAAGACAGGCTTCTTTGAAGAGCTAATAGTTAAATTGGGTCTTGAAAACGAATAGCCCTACATGGTCAAGGAGGGGAAGAGAGACCACTGCATTAGAAAAACAGGGAACAAAATAATAAAAGCACAAAAGAAGATAGCATATTTAGGAAAAAGTGGTGCTAATAAGGACCAGCCTATGTGCCTGATTGAAATGTTTGGCCATTACCAAAGAACAGGTAGTAGGAAGTTGCTAAGCAGAAGAGTGACCCTGGGAGGTCTCTGCTTTTAAGCAGTTAGGTGGGAGTGGTAACGTCAGGACAGGTGATTCATGAGGGGTCAAAACAAAGAATGAGGATGTCTGACCTAAGCAGTAGCACTAAGAAAAGAAATAGTCTTCCTTTCCCTAACTTTGAGCCACAGAGTTTGCCTTTTGAGTTGTCTCCTTTAATAGACTGGGCACACAACTAGAGTTGGCAAATTGTTGTGATAGGACCAGATACCAGGCCCTTCATTCTTTGGTGCCTGCAGGCAGACACTGGACTAAACATTGGGATAGTTACAAAGACAGAAGATTTTGTCCCTTCCTTAGATACCTGGGAGAGATGGACAAATCTTGTGAACAAGTTAGGGTGTGAAATGCTAAGGAAAACAAGGATACCTAGGTAGCTGGCATCATGGCACATGGCCTATAATGCCATAATGAAATGCCATAATGCCAGCAGTCAGGAGGGTTATGAGTTGAAGGCCAGCACCCTGAGCGGGGTGGGGATGTTGACTGTTCTTGGGATCGGTGACTTGAAAACATTGGCTGGCTGTGTGTGTTGAGGTGGAGGACAGGAGGGTTGGCATGTCAGTGTGCAGAAAGGAAGGCCTAATAGGTCCCAGCCATAAACTCATTGATTCAGCTGGGAGTGGGGCTGCACACCTGTAATCCCAGCACTTGGGAGGCTCAGGCAGGATTGTTGCGAGTCCGAGGCCAGCCTGGGCTACAAAGTGAGTTCAAGGCCAGCCTGAACTACATAGCGAAACCCTGTCTCAAAAGACCAAAACAAACAAAAAAAATTCATTGATTCAAAAGGCACATGAACACTTATCATTAAAAAAGGATTATATCCCTTGTTCTGTAACTCCCCTTGTTCTGTAACTCACCCTCACGTTGATTTATTTGTTTGTTCAACAACCGTCAGATAGTGTACCAGATGGTGAAAATACAGTGGTCTTGCTGGCCCGCAATTCTCTGCCTCAACCTCCCGAGTACTGAGATTACAGGCGTGCGCAGCCACGCCCGGCCTGAGATTGCAATTTTAACTAGGACTTCGGGTGGCACACCCAGTAAAAAAACCTTAGTTTAATCTTGACTTCTTCCATTCCTTATCTCTTATAGCCTTTAGCAAGTCACTTCCCCTCGACAGATGATTCCTTATTCATAATTAGTTTAAGGTTTATAATTGGCTTTAATTATGAAAAAGTTTTGGGAGAAAGAGGCCATACTATAGAGAAGAAACAGTAGCAGAAACAGCTGCGAACTTGGCATGTTTAACTTTCTTTAGTACGTGTCCCTCCTCCACCAGCAGTGGTTGTGTTCTCTTTAAATGCGCGCCTTTGGTATAATCTAGGTAAGACGGGGTGGGGAGGAAGAACGCATTTCAACGCGGGTTGGAATGTTTGTCCGTTTCGGGCTGCCGTCCTGCAGGTCCGCCATATTGTTTGCTGAAGCTGCCGCTGAAGCTACCGCCGCTGCTGCCGCTGCCGCGGCCAAGTCTAAGCGTGCGGAGCCGCAATGGGTGAGTAGGGAAACCAGGCAGTTCGGTAGTCGGGCTGAGAAAGTTTTGGGCATGGGGTCTGGCAAGAGCCTGTTTCTGGTGCGAGGAAGATGTTTGAAGCCTCTGCAGGTAGGGCTGGGGAGCGAAACCAGGCCGGAGTGCCCCGTAGGCCAGTTTGGGGCCGGACCGGGGCCACTCGCGAGCAGCCGGAGCCTGGTTCCGGAGACACCTTGGAAACCCTGGGCCGGAGACCACGCGTTCCGGGGACGCAGAAATGGGCCGGCCCTCCGCCCTGCGCCCAGACCGGGGCTCAGGGGCGAGCTGTCCCGGCCGCGGGCCTGGGCGCCGCGGAGGGAGGGAGCCTTTCCCGGTGCGTCTGGCTGTCGCGCTTCTTGACTACATTCTCTGGCCCCTCTGAACTCAGGTACTCCTACTTACGCCCTGCCCGGGGAGGAAACGCCAGGCAGTCCAGCGGGTAATCAGGGGTAGCCGGGCTGGTGGCAGCTTCGGGCGCCGAAGGCCGGGAGAACTTCCCCAGCCGAGGCGGAAACGGGCTGATTGAGTTGGGCTCAGAGTGACAGCCTCGTAGTGTTAGAAAACCAGCTGCTAAGCCGGCTTGGCCATAATATACGTAGAAAAGGACCTGTTGATCATTTGGTGGTTAGCAGGGCCTCTGCCCAAAGAATACGATTGCGAAGATTTTAAATTTGGAAACAAAACCAGCATTAGTATAACCTCTGCCACCTGAAAGGCTTAAATTTGCTAAGGTCTGTGTGCAAGCAATGTTTTGAGTGCCTTCCATGCCTTTGTTTTGCTTCATTTGTGCAACCTAATGATATAGGTACTGCCGTTATTCCTGTTTTGCAGATGGGAAAAAAGAGGCTTAGGTAAAGTAACTTACCCAAGGTCACACAGTTAGTGGTTAAACGAGGTTCAACTCCAGCGCCGGTAGATTATAACTGCTGCTGTTTATGGCCCAGCCCTCTAGTGGTTGGGCTAGAAAGGGGAAAGAGAGCTTTTAAGGCTACAACAATGTTGTAAAGGTGTTTTTTACTGCTGGGCACACTTTGAAATCTTTAGGTTGGAATGAAATCTGTAAAACCCGAACTATTTTTTTTTTCCTGTTGGGTGTAGTGGTAGCCTAGTGGCATTCTAGAATTTTTTATGATTTCTAATCCTGGTGAAACAAATTGAGCTGCAGGGCATTCGAATCAGATGTGATATTACAATCTTGCCTGTCACTTCCAGACTCATCAAGAGAAGTCATTTAACAGATAAAACAGTGCATATGGAAAGCAGCTAGCACAGTCCACAGTAAATGTTACTTTCCTTCATTTTTGATCCTTCGTTTCCTCTAAAAAGATGGAGAGTATTATCAAGATATTTGGAGAATAAAGGTGACACAGTGTTTGGAGCTCAGTAAAGGCTCTTTCAGTTACAAAACAAAACCTTTTCCACCTCAAATAATGTTACTTCCTTTCCCATAAGCACTCTCGCTTCCAGAATCCTGGAAATGGTAAGACCTCTTTTTAGTAGCTACAGCTTTATGTATTCGTGAAAATTTTTAGTGGGCTGAGAATGTGTAGCTCAGTGATAGAGTCCTTGCCTAGGCCCTGGGTTCAGTCTCCAGCATGGCAAAAAAAGTGAGGAAGAAAGAAAAAACTTTAGCTTTTATATTATAGTAATACTTTGTATTAGTCTTCAATTTCAGAATTCTTGGTTCCCTCAAAAAGAGAAGGGAAAGAGCTGGTTTTCACTAAGCTCAGTGAAATAAATTTGTACAGATTAAGAAAGGACATCAGAGAAGATAACATAGCTAGTAAACAGCCAAACCACAGGTGGGTTTTGTTTTATTTCCTTGTGTCATTACCCCCATCACTGCAGTTTGAACCCAGGACTTCCTACATTGGGCTAGGCTCAAATTTGTAATCCTCTTGCCTCAGCCTCCCAGACTGCTGAAATTATAGGCTTGTACCATCACACCCAGCTGGAAGTGAGATTCTTACCCATTTGCTATACATAAACCTCTAAGAAAATTTAAGATACTAAAGTTAGTACATCTCTGGTAGAATTAAAGATGAAAGTTGTTCAGTAGAACAACAAAACTTGACCAAGGTCCTGAAGAGAATTTTTAGTCTAGAGCAGTGGTGGCAAATTTATGGTTTACATGCTGCAGCAAGCTGTTATCATTTAAACCTCTAAAAGGTTTGCCATCGCTGGTCTAGAGTCAGGTAACTTCTCTCACCTTATTTATCCAAGGTAGTTTTGGTTGTCTGTGTTTACAGTGACAGGCTGAGTTGTTTTTATTTTTGTCTTTGTCTTTGTCTTTTTGAGACAGGGTCTCTGCTATGCAGTTCAGGCTGGCCTTCAGCTCACTTTGTAGCTCACTGTGATCCTAGCACTAGGCAAGCTGAAGCAGGAGGATCACAGAATTCAAGGCCAGCCTGAACTATATAACAAGACCCTGTCTCAAAAATATAAAACAAAACAAAAAGACTATAATGGAGTTAAAAAAATTCCAGTTGCCTAGTGAACATATAGCTGCAGACCATAACAGACTCCTTAAAAAGTTTGAAAACAGGTGTTGTGGAGCATGTTTGTAATCCCAGCTACTTGAGAGGCTGAAGCAGTAGGATTGCAAACTTAAGGCAAGCCTGGGCAATTTAATGAGACCCTGTCTCAAAAATTTTATTTTATTTTATTTTTTTTTTGGTTTTTCTCCGGTACCAGGAACC